CTGTGTCATCTTGGAAAAGGCCACCAACACGGAATGCCCATCTTCTCGTGGTAAAACACAGGGTGTGGGCTGTGAGGGATTCAATCTGGTGTTACTTTCATGGTAGTGACATTGTCAGTGAGCAAAGCAAAGACTTCACTACTCCCTGCCTTCTGCCGGATGGCAGATAGTTTATTTTTTAAAAAGATTTATTTTAAAAAATATTTATTTATTTTTAGTGGAAAGGCAGATTTACAGAGAGGAGAGACAGAAAGACTTTCCAACTGCTGATTCATTCCCCAAGTGGCTGCAATGGCTGAAACTGAGCCAATCTGAAACCAGGAGCCAGAAGCTTCTTCCAGGTCTCCCACACAGGTCCCAAGGTTTTGGACCATCCTCTACTGCTTTCCTAGGCCACAAACAGGGAGTTGTATAGGAAGTGGAACAGCCAGGACACGAATTGGTGCCCATATGGATGCCAGCGCTGGAAAGGGGAGAATTAGCCAATTAAGTCATTGTGCCAGGCTCAAAATGTATTTATTTTAATGGCCAAAGCCAAGCCCATTTGTAGCCAGGAGCTTCTCCTGGGTCTCCCACATGGGTACAGGATTTTAAGGCTTTCAGCCATCCTCCACTGCTTTCCCAGGCCATAACCAGGGAGCTGGATGGGAAGTAGAGCAGTCCAGACATGAACTGGTGTCCATATGAGATGCTGGCACTTATAGGTAAAGGATTAGCCAATGGAGCCATCCTGCTGGCCTCTGGCACCTGGGTTGTAATGAATGTGTTGTGCCATGCAGCTGTTTGCTTCTGTTACTGTGCATTTGGTTGTTTGTGAGAAAGCAGTGGCCTTGCTGGCTCACGGTTGCAGAGTCTGTCTCTGTTCAGTGTTTGTCCACCGGTACTGCTGCAGGGCTTGGCATTCTATTGATTATTCCCCACACAGACCCCATTCCCTACTGCTGTTCCCCTACTAAGGGGCTCATGCAGAGAATACTGCTGGGCAAATTACTCTGGGCCTAGTAATGGGAAAACTTCGTGCAGTCTATATGTTTTCCATTATTGACAGTAGTGTTGCAGATGAATATGTGGCTCTGGCCAGAGGTGGGTCTGTTTTTCCTGCTCTTCAGGTGTCACCTGTACACTGGTGAAGCCATTCAGAATGCTCTGCATGCAGAGGCTTACACCCCTGTTGGCTCACGGGTCCTGCGCGGGTCCTCTTGGCGGTGATATCGATGTCGTAGGAGCAACATGGGAAGCGTGCATGCTTGCCTCTCAGTGTGGGCCACCTCTTACCTCCTGAATCTCTGCCTGGTGCCTTCCAGGTTCTTGAATCAATGCCTTTCAGTTGCCAGAATTCAGCCTGCAAAAGTTTCTAACCTCTGAAAGTTGACTTCACTGTTTTTTGCAGAGAGGAAGCCGGTGGCAATAAAACTGTGCAGTGATGAGGGGCTCCACATGAGCCGGCAGCAGCTTCCCCTCTGTGCTGTCCTGTGGCTGGCAAGGGGATGGCACGACAAAACCCAACATCATGAAGGATGTTGGTGTTTGACAGGTTCTGAATACACTGGGATTCAAATATCTCTCTTTTGTTAAGAGAAAGGCATACATCCTTTCCTGGCTGCCTTGGAGATCTACACTAAAGATCACAGGGCCAGGAAGAACTGAGTTTCTCTTTCTAGCTTCTAAATCGCCACTTCTTCCCTCTCTTCTACCTTGGGCCCTAAATGAATAAGTGCTGTACTATTCATCTCTTTAGGAACCAATGATGCCGTGCTGTCTTCATTCGCCTGGGATTCACTCCACCGAGAGATAGGCGGGAGGGGTGAGCCTTTTATTGGCAATAGAAGTCAAGGAGAGAAAGCCACACAAGACGGTCTTTCCTCCATCTCTTGGAGTCAGAAGTGATCTGTTGTTTGGAAATTCTCCTCTGATTGTTCTTGAGTATTAGGTACAGAAGAACACCATTCCCTGGCATGAGAAACCTGAGTCACAACAATACAGGACCCTTATGATAAATCTTTCATCATCCTACAGGCATTCAAAATCTTGTTTAAATTGTTTTTAATCCCCCAACCTCCCTTCTTGAGAGAAAGTGAGTGCTTCTATCCACAGGTTCACTTCCCAGCAGTGTCTAGGGCTGGGCTAGGCTGAAGCCAGGAGCCAGGAACTCCAGCTGTTCCACATGGGGGTAGGTGCTCAAGCACTTGAGCCATCTTCTGCTCCTTTTCCCAGGTGCATCAGCAGGGAGCTGGATTGGAAGTGGAGCACCCAGTACACAAACGAATGCCCATAACAGATACTGGCTTCAAAGGTTGTGCCATGGTGTCAGCCTCTACATTGGTTTTGTTGTTGTTTCACATTTTTTTATTTCTATAAAGTAGACACATTTTTTTATATCCTATAAGATACAAATTTAAGAGCTAATGATGGGCCCAGCACAGTAGCCTAGTGTCTAGATCCTCATCTTGCACACGCCGAGATTCCATATGAGTGCCAGCTTGTGTCCCAGCAGCCCCACTTCCCTTCCAACTCCCTGCAGGTGGCCTGGAAAAGCAGTGGAGGACGGCCCAAAGCTTTGGGATCCTATACCTGCGTGGGAGACCTGGAAGAAGGTTCTGGCTCCAGGTTTTGGATTGGTGCAGCTCTGACCATCGTGGCCATTTGGGGAGTGAATCAGTGGACAGAAGATCTTCCTCTCTGTCTCTCCTCCTCTCTGTATATCTCACTTTCCAATACATAAATTTAAAAAAAAATAGAGCTAATGATACTCTAATTTTTAAAAAGAAATAACATATTCAAATATCTATAATTTGTCCCAGACTTTACCATTTTGGGAAGATCAACATATATATTTTTTGAATTTTTAAAATTATAATCCACAGAAATTGGATGTAATGTGGTAGAAAATCACTCAGCAAGAATCTGAGCCTCTCTCATGTTCTCCAGCACAAGGACAGGGCAGCAGACAGGCCCTGCTGTCAGTGTGCTTAGGAACTGTAGGAGGGAGCAAGTCACGATGTGAAACAATGGGACTGACATGCTACCGAATACAAGGCCAAGGTAAACTTGGGGGACAGATACTGTAGAAGTGTAGAAGAGAGAGACTTCCTTGTTGGGTAAAATGGGAGAGATTTTGAGACATGAGAAAAGTCCACGAGGTTTCACAACATACAAGCTGGTGACAGTAGTCCCATTAAGCCAGGAGGGATGAGAACCAGAACTGAGAAAGTAGAGGGAGGAGAGTGCAATGGGATGTGGCTTGGAAAGTCTGCAGTTTCAACCCAAACTATAGATGAGAAGGAATCAGTGATGGTTTTTATAGGAGAAAGAGTATGATGGAAGCAGTGCTTCAAGAGGACTGGCCCAGCGACCACATTTGGGATAGACAGGCAGGGCGAGAATGTGACTAGAAGGAAGGAAGGAACAAAGCAAGCAAGCAAGTGAGCAAAGAAGAGAGGGAAGGATGGAGGAAGGAGGCAAACAGTAGCAAACCAACTGGGTGCCAGGGAGCTGTGCTATGTGAGATGAAACTGGGGCAAATGTAACAGGTGTTGCTCAGGGGACCTGACGACACTCCCATTACTGGCTTCTTATAGAAGGGAAGGAAGAAGCCTCTGTCAAAAAGACCCCAAAGGTTTTGGTTTGGTGGTGAGGATGATTGTTGGGCTCTGCCTAGATTCCTCTGGGTTTGTGGTGACAGTGAATGGTGACAGTGGACAGTCCACTGATGGGCATGCTCAGCAGGAGGCTGCAAATGCCAAAGCCTGAGCTGTAGCTCTGTGTCCAGGGAAGCAGGAGTCAGGGAAGTAGGGGAATATCAAAGGAGAAGTCAACTTCAAGGTCATAGTGGCAAAAAGAGGAAGCTGCCTGGGAACAGCCAGCAGGAGAATGAGCAGGGCCCAACCGATGACGGAAGTGAAGGGGGCAGGGTATGTGTTGTTTTCTGACTTCCTGCAGCCATGCCTTGCCTCCCAGGACTGGACAGAGGCATTAGGGGGCAGCATGGCACTGGTGGGCGAGGAGTACCAGGGGAACCTGGAGGAGACAAATGTGGCCCGGGAAAGGACAGAGTGGTCTCTATCTTGTGGAAGAGGAAAGAAGGCAAAACTGTTGTCACTAGTGATTATAGAGCATGCTCAGTTGCAGAAGAGGTGATGTCCCCATCATAGTGATGAGCGGTGAGGGAGCAAGTAAGGAAGGGAAGCAGGTCTCATGCAGCCGTGTTACAGAGGCAATGTCCTGGACCAGGGGCATCTCCCCAGTTCTGATCTGTTGTGCCTGTGGTCAGGAATGATGGCAAGGAGAGCTCCACCCACCCCAGGCTCTGGCTCATGAAGGCATCCAGGCACTGAGGTCCAGCAGCTGGTGAAAAGGCAGGTTCTGCTCATTGGAATGCATCTGAGCCACTGGCACTGTGGGCTCCTGCTTGACTTTAGGGATAGGTTTCTGCCATTGAAAATGCCATAGGCACAAACAGCAGAAGAGCCCCCTGGCCAGTTCTCCCCTGCCCTCTGCATCTGCCAGCTGCACTTGGAAGGGGCAGGAAGTGCTCATCAGCTCCTTCAGCAGTGGTGGGGTGTCCTCCAGGTCTGAAGTAAAGATGGGGAGTGAGGGCAAAGGTTAGAAAGACGAGAGGCCTGCGGGACAACTAGAGAAACCACCGCTAAACATCCTGCAGAGGAAGGGCCAAACAGGGCCTGCCCCTCCTGTCTCTCTGGGGGCATAGAGAGTGGAGAGCAAGCCAGGCAGGAGCAGATACACACCAGGGCTCAGAGATGAAGGTCACTACACAGGACAGAGGTACTCCCGTACACACAGCCCATCCTAGACACAGATGTTGGGGTCGTGAGCTCCCCTGCAAGCACAGGCACACCTGGCTGTGCACCTGCCCCTCTACACACTTGCACAGAGCCCCTCCTGCTCCAAGAGCCTCCTGTGCATGGAGTACCCGCCCCGGCATGAGGAAGAGCAGGCCTCTCTCCTCCAGGCCTCACTCCTTCCCCTTTGTGTCTTTCCAGGTCGTGACATGGCGAGCACCACTCTGCCTGGTTACCCCCCTCACGTGCCCCCCACTGGCCAGGGAAGCTACCCCACGTCCACCCTGGCAGGAATGGTGCCTGGTAGGTGACAATGCTACAGCTGCCTACACTAGCTGGGGGCAGCAGCTTAAAGCGCCGGTGAGCTGCTGATTGGTCTGTAGTCTGTGGGTGGGGGGAGATCCAATTGCCTCTCCCCACAAGCCACCCCTGACCCATCCCTCTCTCCCTCAAGGCCACTGTTAGCCCCTCATGAGCAAGCCAGGGAGGAAGCTGGCCGAGGTGTGCTTATGTGCACCCCACTTCAGATCATGACCCATCCCCTGTGACCACCCCCACCCCCCTCCTGTGCCCCAGGAGAACGCAGCCTCAGCTGTACCCTCAGCGCCCCCAGCCCACCCCAGTCAGCTGACACTGCTTGGAACAGCCTGCCCTGGTTTCCATGGAAACTTGGAGCCAAGTACCATTTCCAGGAGCACCGTCAGTCACTCAGACAAAGACACCCTGGTCCACACCAAGTCATAGGGAAGACCAATGTTGAGAGTAACCCCAACTGAGAGGGAGGAGGTGGCTGGTCCCTAAGAGGCACAGAGGGTAGGCTGAGGCAGGAGCTCAAGGCAAGCTAGAAGCCCCCAGGGCTCTTCAAAAAACCAGCCCTGGTCTGAGGGGAGTTGGGTTTGGACAGTAAGGACCAGGGAAGCAGAGGCTGGATCTAGGATCTGGTGATCGCTGCTAGGCATGATGCTACCCTGAGTTCCTATCAACACAAACGCCAAACAACTCTTGCCTTAAGGAGGGCATGAGTCTCCTGGCCTGTGCCCATTCCCTGGCCCCCTTTGTAACGTGCTGTTTCCTTCAAGCTCACGTCTCATTGGTAGGGGGAAGAAGTGGCTAGAAGAGGATTACTGTCCCCATCTATCCAGAGACAGCGCTGGGTGACAAGAGCTTGGGGAAGGGAGGAGGACAAAGAGGAAGACTGGGGCAGGGCACCCTGGAGAACAGAGGTTGAAGGGAGAGGCAGAGGTGAGGGTGGAAGGGTTCCTGTCCAGCTCTGGGGGAGGGAAGGGAGAAGCATTGTCTTAGGTTTGGTTCCCTGAGGAAAGGTCCCAGCCGCGAGCAGGTGGATGCTGGAGGAGGTCTGGGGGAGGGGAAGGAGAGGGACTGGGGAGTCTGAAGGGAGGTGGGGAAGAGGGGAGCCGCAGAGAGCTCATGGTGGCAAGGGGGGAGTCGTTAAACAGAATCTAGTGCTGATGAGGAAATTACACTTGTTTCATTAGCGATGGGGAAGGAGATAGCTCAGTTCCTCTTGGTCACAGTTGAGCTCAGAAGCTCATTATCCTGCTGCACGCATGCTTTCCCTCCTCGTCAATAAACAGGCTTTCCAGTGGCTGCATCCCCCACCCCCACCCAGCTCTGGCTCCGAAAGGGGCCCCTTCTCCTCTACTTAACCCGCGGTTAGGGATCACTGTAAACAGTCTGGGGTCATCACACAGGAGCAAGGGCGAGGGGAAACCCCCAGGCCTGCCCTTTCTCCCGCCAGAGGGAGGGGGGCAGCTTCCGAAGGCTCCCAGCCCATGGGGTCCTGGGCTCACCGCTGGCAGACCGGTGGGCAGTGCCACCTGCGCCTGACCACCTCCTCTGCTGGCTGGGTAGCCCACGTGTTGAACCTCTGGAGCAAAAGGAGGGAGGGGCGTGTTCCCCAGCAGAATCCCCCACCTCATGTTCTGGTACCACACTGAGATGCCATTCTTAGGGCTTTCTGGGACAAACTGTCCCTAGAGCTTTTCTCTGCCACCCTGCTCCACTGCCACCCCCATGGGACTCTGTCTTCTAAAAACAGTCTGTCCATTACAGTGGCCCTTGGCCTCCAGAGCAGCAGGGAGACAGTGCTGGGGGATCCTAAGGGATCCTTCCTGCAATCCTGGAAGCCCCCATTCCCCAGGCCAGTATCACCGGCAAGCCCCTCCACGCTGGTGTGCGCAAGGTGTGTGGGCACTTCCTGCCTCTTCCCCCAAACAGCTGTGGGAATGGCCCCACCTCCGCCCAGCGGTCCCCAGGGACAGCCTGACACGTGTGCCCTTTATGTCCCCGGACAGGTCAGGGTGGAGGTAGGGTGATGGTTGGGAAGCTGCGGGTCCAGCTGGTCAGATGCCCAGGGCCTGATCTTTACTCCCTCACCTTTGGCAGGGAGCGAATTCTCCGGCAATCCCTACAGCCACCCCCAGTACACCGCCTACAATGAGGCTTGGAGATTCAGCAACCCCGCCTTACTAAGTGAGTAACGCCACCTTGAAGCCCGCCAGCTCTGCAGGGCTGCCTCTGGACACGGATCCTCACTCCCTTGGTGATCCGATTTGGGGGGAGATGGACAAGGCCAGACCAGGCACACGCTCCTGAGTTTTGCTCAGTGCCTCCCTCCCGTCCCTTCCTCACCCTCCCGGGTCGCTGGAAGCTCCAAGCCCCCTTAGATCCCACACAGAATACACAGCTGGGCTACACCCATCGTTTACGCCCTCTCTGCCCCCGCCCCCTGCGGCCCAGCCCAGGCCTTCCTGCCAGGATCTGGCCTGCCCCCAGCCTGGGGACGTCTTTGTGTTTTTTTTTTTTTTGCTTTTCTTTCCTTTTTTTTTTTTTCTTTTTTTTTTTCTGTTTGTCCTCTCACCCAGCCCATTCTTCTCCTGTGTTAACTTCCAGGTTCCCCTTATTATTATAGTGCCGCCCCCCGGGGCTCCGCCCCTGCCGCTGCTGCCGCTGCCTATGACCGCCACTAGTTACCGCGGGGACCACATCAAGCTGCAGGCCGACAGCTTCGGCCTCCACATCGTCCCTGTCTGACTGCCTGCCCAGGAGGCAGGGAGGACCTACGCGACACGACGCCTCCCCGCCGCCGCCCCAGCCCCATCCTGACCCCAAAGATCCCCCCCTAGTCCCCAGCGCAGCCCTTCACGTCACCCGGGTGGAAGGCTGGACAGGACGGGTGGAGTCGCGGGTGGGACGCTCAGGCCCTGGGCCCGCAGCCCCCATCCCCACCCGCCGCGCCTCCCCGCCTGTCTGGACTGCGTGGCGCCTGGAGGAGGGACCCCAGCCCAGCTCCACCACCGCCCGCACGCCGGCTACATTCCTGTGATACACAATCAGCGCGGACCGCAGCGCGGCCGAGCCTCGGAGCAGCCCGGCAGCAGCCCAGCTCGGGCGCCCGGGAGGCTCTGCTGGGGGAGCTGGGCAGAGGAAATGAAGGACAAAAAGACTTCACGCATTGGAGGAACAGTCCCCCATGCTGAACCCTCGCTCAACCTGCTTTACACCCCGCGCCAGCCGGACTGTCCCGACCCCGCGCCGCCTGCCCGGGGTTGGGTGTTGGGGGGAGTTGCCCCGCGAAGGTGGAACATTGGCGTGGTGGGGGTCGCTCTCCAGGGTCGAGCTGTGGGGACATCGGGTCTTCCCAAGTTGGAAGCCAGCAGCCGGCCCCGGCGGAGCTCCGTTAGGCCTACTGCGCCCGGACTGCCCGGCTCCCCGACGCGCGCGGCACCTCTGGTTACACGACCCGACCTCAGCCACACTCGCCCCTACCTCAGCGTCTCTACCTTCTGCAGCCCCCCTGTTTCCCCTCCTGCTGTCCTTGGCCCGCCGCCGCCGTACCACGACTTCCATGTCGCCGGCTCCGGCCCGCCTGCGGCACAGCTGGCCAGTCCCCGTAGGCCATGCGCAGTCCTTCTCAGGGGCAGGTGCCGGCGGGTCCCTCCCGCGACACAGACTCTCAGAAGCCCACCGCCGTAGCAGCGGGACCCCGAACCGGTGTGTGAGCCTCTGCCGGGTGCAAGAGGGGGCTGCCCACGCCACTCACCCCCCCCCCAACTCCACCCCTCTGCCTCTGGCCGGATCACATCAGAACCGCAAAGAAAAAAAAAAATGTCTCCATGTATTTAATATGAGGATCGCTGCAAAGAAAAAAAAAAAAAAAGCAACAGAAGCCCATCAGGCTGCTGCTGGGTGGAAAGTCGGTGTGTGTCGCGTCAAGGCGAAGCCCTGTACATAGCCCGCCCCTCGGCCCCGCCCGTAGCCCCCCGCCACCCGCCCGCCTGCCCGCCCTGCCTGTACTTGCGCCCCACTAGACCGTCTGCGCCGAGGGAAAGGGACGCAGCCACACGCCCACTCGAGCACAGCACGTCCTGGGGGAGGGGGCATTTTTTTATGTTACTTTGAAAAATGACGAAAAGAAATCTCTATGCAAAATGACGAACATGGTCCCGTGGACTGCTCTCGCCTGTTTTGTTGGCTATTTCTCTGTAATTCCGTGTTTTCGCTCTCCTCACTCGCTCCCCTTTGCTTCTCTCTCCCCCGTCTGTCTCTCCCCGTCTCTGTCTCTCTCGTGTCTCTGTCTCAACTCCCCTCCTCCCTCGCTCCTCCCCCCATCCGCACCCCGACCGGTCTAGTCGGCTAGATCGGGAGGTGGCGGTTCTGCCCCGGGGCGGGGGGCACCCCAGCGCCTCGCGCGCCCCGGCGACCCCTGCCTCGTCCCACCCTGTAGTTGCTCTCTTGGTAGCGGCGATGCGCCCTGCATGTCTCCTCACCCGTGGATCGTGACGACTCGAAATAACAGAAACAAAGTCAATAAACGTGAAAATAAATAAATAAAAATCCTTGAACAAATATGAAAAGGCTTGGAGTCCTGGCCCAGCTCTCTCTCCCTCTTGGAGCTTTTTTATTTGAAAAGAAAAGCGAGAAAGGAGAACAGTTGAAGGTGACTGTTGAAGGTGCACCCCTGTCCGGCTCCAGTGGGCCGGAGGGCGGCGGCCAGTACCCGGAGGCTCCGCCGGGCTGGCCAGGCAGGAGCTGGGACCCACTACCAGTGCAGATCTCCTGGGCCACTTTCAGCGCGTCAGCTTTTTTTTTTTTTTGTGCACATGAAAAATAAATACTAATAAATAATAAAATTTTGTATGTTACTTCCCATGGCTCCAGGTTTCTCTCTCCCTGCTTCCGGGCCTCTCCTTGCCCTGGTAGCTCCTCGGTAATCCTCTCAACGACCTTCCCGAATGCATTCCCACTGTGACCCCTTTGCCAAGATCCCCTGGGAGACGACAGGTGGACGCTGGCAAAAGCCCAGACCGCCTGCCTCCCCGCAGCCACCTTCCCACACCCACCCCATCTGGGGACCAGGCGTTTTCTCTCTAGTCCGTGCCATACAGATCCTGCGGGACCGCCACTCAGCCCATGCCAGATTTAGGCTCTCCAAATGCCAGGTGTAAGGCACGCTCCACCTGGGTGCAGAGTCCGCCCTCTAGTCTCCCTCCCTCTGCTCTCCAGTGGGCTCCCGTGCGTACTAGCGCGGCAACAATTTAATTTCGAGTTTGCGTCGGATCTCGATCTCGGAGACCTGACGCTGCCCCAAGTTCAGCGCTTTGCATTTATTTCTGCGCGCTGACAGGCACCTGTCCTACGGAGATAAGGGAAGTGTCTCCTGCCACCTCATATAGCCCAGCCCACTCTATCTGCAACCCTGGGACTGCTACCCACGTCCTGCTCACGGTGGTGTCTCAGGAGGTGCACAGGTGCCTCTGCAGGTCCGGAGGCTGGTCAGTGGCTTGCTGTATGGATATGTATTTCTCTGCAATTGCGTGGGTCCCTGGGTAGTTCTGAGGGTGCACAGTGGACGTGTCTTTTTAGATGTGCTTGTTACTCGTGCCCATGAGTCCTTCTGTCTTTGGTCCTGCTTGGGGGAGCAATATCATGATCATCCAGGGTTGTCATTGCATCACAGTCACCTGGACCCATCCCTGGTCCAGTGCTTCAGCAACCTGCCCTGCTAACCTTCCCACATCCTTGCCAGCACAAAGACCCCACCTCCTATTTGATTTCCAACCTGGGAGAATTTTCCTCTTTGCCCCAGGAAGTACCCCACTCCACTTCCATTTCAGGGTCCTCCCTCTTGGAAGGCTCTTCAAGCTCTGAGTTACCAGGGATGTCTGGGGTGGAAAGGTAGGACAGTGGGGTGAGGGTGTGAGCAGGGTATCCCTGACACTTCCTCTCTCCAGAACTCCAGAGGTTTTCTCCCCATTCAGACTTAGTAGCATCAGCCCACCTCAGCAGAATAGGCAGGGGCCTTAAGAAACCAGCTTAAGGTCCTTGCCCTTCCCCAGCCCTCCTTACCCTGTCTCCTCCCCACGACCCATCTCAGCAAAGGGCATCCTACCTAGTACTATTCATCTTGACCAGCAGTCTGCTAGCAGGTTCAAATCACGGTGGCCCCACTTCCCATCCAGCTCCCTGCTTGTGGCCTGGAAAAGCAGTCAAGGACGGCCCAAAGCCTATGGATCCTGCACTTGCGTGGGAAACCCAGAAGAGGCTCCTGGCTACTGGCTTTGGATCAGTGCAGCTCCAGCCATTGTGGCCACTTGGGGAGTGAATCATCAGATGGAAGATCTTCCTCTCTATGTATCTGACTTTCCAATAAAAATAAAATAAATCTTTAAAAAAAATAGAAGACTAATCTTCAGACTTCTCTGGTCCTACGGTCTGATAGTACCAAGAATTCTGTCTGTGTACTTGTAACATGTTTACTAATTTACAAACTCCATAAAATTACTGTGGAGCTATTATAAATTTTATGTGACACTAATGGAAAAGGAATGAGATTGAGATGTATAGACATTTTATTCTCCCACACAAATGGATTATCTCACACCCCCAGAAAAGCTGCACCCCACTTTGACCATCCAACTTGGACCTCACAAAAGCCTAGCACAATAAGAACCCTTGACTATGGCCCGATGCCCAGAGAAGCCCTTGGGGCCCTGGGTGGGCTAGGACTGGCTGGGATAGCCCAGTGCAGCCTGCCTTTGTCATCTGTAGTAGGTGTCTCCCCCCAGCATCTGGCTTTGCTGCCATCTTCCCTACTCCTAGACATGGAGCCCAGCCCAGCCCAGTCCATCAAGTTGGGAGCGAAGGCCTCCCGCATGGGTCCCAGACAACCTCTCATCTGTTTCTGGTCTTACATGAAATTGGACAGCAAGGACCCCACTCTTGACAGAGACCACTTCTGCCCGGAGGTTCTTATGTTGGGTCCTCTTGAAATGATGACTACAGGTCAGAATTACTCTGAGGACCCTGAAACATGCTCTACAGCCCTTAGCTGGTTTCCTGTTCTACCTGGAGCCCCATTCCAGCACCCCAGAGAGAAGGCCATTTCCTAGCTGCAGTTTCCCCAGGACTCGTTTTTTAAATTTACTTTTACTTAAAGATGTATTTATTGTTATTGGAAAGTCAGATCCACAGAGAGAGGAAGAGACAGAAAAGAAGATCTTTTGTGAGCCTATTCGCTAGCCAAGTGGCTGCAATGACTGGAGCTGCTCTGATCCGAAGCCAGGAGCCAGGAATTTCTTCCAGGTCTCCCACACAGGTACAGAGTCCCAAGGCTTTGGGTCATCCTCAACTGCTTTTCCAGGCCACAAACAGAGAACTGGATGGGAAACAGGGCAGCTAGAACATGAATTGGTGCTCATTTGGCATCCCAGCACATGCAAGGCAAGTACTTTATGGCCACTAGGCTATTGCACCGGGCCCTCCAGGACTCTCTTTGAACCTACCAGTCTCGCTTCATCCCATCTCCACAGGGTTCCTGGCTGAGGGGCACCAAGGATGACAGACACGGGGCGGGGGAGAGAGAGAGAGAGAGAGAGGAAGGAAGGAAGGAAGGAAGGAAGGAAAGAAGGAAGCAAGGAAGGAAGGATGTCCTGGGCTGGGCTGAGGCAACAGTGAGAATAGAAATGTGATGACATGAAAATGAAACAGTTCCACTGTGTCTGAACACCAGGCAATGGAGGGACAGGAGATGAAGCTTAAATCTGGTCAGTAGCCAGCAGGTAGGGGATGTTGTCAAAGAGTACCTGTCATTCACACAGTGCCTTGAAGAAATCTCTGTCACCCTAGCCATCTCCTACCCATGAAGACAACACATTTGTAGCCATGACTGTCATTGGTACAGAATGGGGCTCAGGCACATATCCACTCTGAACTCATCAACCCTCCCCTCTCGAGAAACAGAACTGCAAAGCATGGAGAGAACAGGGCTTTTAACATGAAGGGCAAGGGCTGAGGG